TGATAAACAACCACCCACTATATGCTACTGACGCTTCTCTACTTGTATTTATAAGCCAGCATATCTGTATGCCTCAGTAATCCCATGCTCTCTGCCCCTTAAAGATCCTGTAGATCTGCCATTACATTTTTGCAGTGTTAACTATAACATTTATTTATAAAGCAAGGAGGTTTAACTTTTATTGAGATGTAAAGCGCAGGGTTAGTTTAGCTACATTCTATTTTCTTTTTCCCCCTTTTGGCTGAAACCTGAACTAAACTGCAGGAGTGGAATTTGTTAATTTGTGAGCTGATGAGCGCTCTTAACTTTAAATAATAAAACAAAAAAATGGCTGCTAGAATGCAAGTGCCTTGGACTTCTTGCTGGTGAGCCTCTATTTTCAGCTGGTTTCCTAGGGATGGTGCACTTGTGGGTACGGAAATACTGGGCATTTGCAGTCGACAGATGTGATGGTTTCATTCCCTCTGAATTTTCTCCTGGGAAAAGCTCATCTACTGCAGCTGCAAACATTTCCCCTGAAAAAGGATAACACTGACACTGAAATGACACCTCTCTCTGTACACTTTGCCGTATCTTTTGATGTAACAATGAAACAGTGTGAAATGAAACAGTGTGAAAAGATGCTACTCTGCTGACTCAGAGGTTATCTGCCTTACCTGCAGCTGGGACTGGGCACTGCAAGCAGAAAGAGGGACGCACTGTGGCCGTCGTCAATTTATGTTTTTCAACCCCAGAGCTGTCAGTGGGAGGCCAAAAGCAGACAGAGGAATTAAAGGTACTGGAGTAGTTCCACACAAGAATTTGGATTTCCAAAAATGCCTGGCCTTCCCCGGGGAGGATGGGAGCAGATGGGTAAAATATTTGAGTGTTTGTCCCTTCATTGGTTGCTCCATCCTCAGAAATAGTTCCTGATGGTTTGATCAGTGTTGTTGCCTTCCGTTCCCTTTGAAAATGCAGACACGACATTTAAGCAGTGCGTGCAGATCGGTGGGACGTGCTTCCCCTGCCAAAATACTGCTGCTGTGCTGCAGGTGATCTTCAGGTACGTAGCAGAGCGGCTGCAGGGCCGAGGCAGCGGCTGATCCTTCCTGACCGGGGCTCCCTGTCTGCAATCCCGTCCCACACGCAGAGCTGCGGGGAGGAAAGGGATGAGAAGGGAGTTGTTCCGCAGTTGGGATGGGGAAGCAGCTCTCAAGCCAGGGTCTTATGATCAGGTGGCTGGGGGATCCAGTCATATACAGAAGCCTCGAGGAGGAGAATACTTTGTGTGATAGAAAAGAGCTTTAATTTTTTTCTTTTGTAACACACAAATAATCCATAATTACATAGTAGGGACCGAGCAATTAAATATTGATGGTAATTACATGGTGGGAGAAATCACTGCATGAATTTAGAGGTAATTACATGAACAGTCTTTGTTTATTGTAGGTGTTGTCTGGGCCAGCGCCAGCGTGTGGGGCAAAACAAGGAGTTGTGGGGAGCAGTGAAACATTTCAGTGATGATTTTGTTATCTGAGTGATTACTGTGGACAGAGTGGGGTTTTTTCTCACTGGGGTGGCTACAGACCCTCCCGTAGCACCCTGCTCTCCAGGAGCCCTTCTGTACACTGCCACGAACAAAAGTCTGCCTTTTATTCCTTGCTTAAAACCTAAGACTGTGCTTTTCTCTCCCTGATACCGGTAATGGGCCCTGGCAGCAAGGCCTCCCGTAGGGGTTTCTTTAGATATGCAAAAGTGGTGAGAAATTTGCAGGGGTTTTCCTGGAGCCGGTTGCTGGTGCCCGTCTGTGGGCGTCTTTGGAGCCTCCCGATGCCCTAAGGTTGGCGCTTGCAAAGGCAGCGGCCTGGAGCGTGAGGGTAGGGATGTGAGGGTAGGGATGCCGCGTCAGCATTTCTCAGGTTCCCAGAGAAACCGACCGAGAGCGAGGAGGTCACGGGCACGCGGGCGTTCTCCTGGTGAAAACAAGGCCCTCCTGGCAAAGCTGCCTTTCCAAGTCGGCGACAGCAACGAGTGCCCTGGAAATGTGGGGTGAGTGAACGCGCTGATGCGGTTCAAGCAGGGCTGTGGCCCTGAGTGGAAGCTGCTCCCAGTAACCTTTGAGCCTCTTGGCCTGCCACGCACTGCAAGCTTCAAAAACCCAACCCTGCAGTGTTTTACATCGAGGACCGTGCCTTTCTCCAAGCGAACCTGCCGTGACTGCGTGAAGGTTGTTTACAAGCCAGAGCAGCTTTCAGTTGACTAGTTTTGTATGACATTTATTTATAGAAAGCAGGAGAGCTGGGGAAGGAGCGATGGGTATGTTTTCTCCCAAGGGGAGGGGCTGTCCCGGTGGCTGCACAGCAACTGCAGTGTGACAGGAACTGCAGTAACAACACCTATTTGAACAGAAGTGACGCAGAGGAGAGAAAGCAGGGAAATAGAAGGAATCCGAGCACTTGGAGGATTCCAGCAGGCTCTGTCAAGAGTAGATGAGTTAATCCATTGTCACAGGGTCCTTCAAAGCCAAACTGTTTCAAAGTTGGAAGCCAACAACTGATGGCAGCTTTTAAATAGCAGTGCTTTTATGTGGGTCTTGTTCTGCTTGGGACAGAGAGGGCTTTGATTTGTCTGAGCCTGGTGTCTTGTGCTAGTTCTCAGCCAAGGAGGTCCAGGAGGAGCTAAGCCTACCTGAGGTGGGGAGGAGGGAGGCAGAGAGCCTTCCGTGGATAGCCCTGTGAGAAAGGCCCTGTGGCCTCTGAAAAGGAAATTCCTTGGGATTTAAGTCCCAGACTGTGACAGCCACTGCTCTATTGCAGTTTCAGAATAGGGACACATCAGCTCTCAGCTCCTGAATCTGGTGCTGCCCAGGAGCTCCACGGCTTGCACTGAGGTTCGGGCAGTGCCCAGGCTCTCCAGCATCATCCTGTAGACATCCCCGACCCCTCCTGAGGGCCAGAAGCTGCTCGAAAATGAGAAGGCAGCGGTTGCAGCTTTCAACGCGGGGCAGGCGGAGGGGACTGTCCTTTATACTGTTACCTGCTCTCCTCTGAGGAGCCAGGATGAAGGAGAGACTCCCGTTCTGCTCTCTCCTCCCTGCTGGGGATTCACGTCTCAGCAGTGAGCTGTATTTAGGAGCCTGGCACTTGTTTGGGAGGGCCTGGTTTGTGCAGAACGAGCTTGAGGTAGATTGCATCCGAGAGGAAGAGTGAGAACTGGACAGTCTTTAGCCCAGTGCCCTGCTGCTCCCTCTGGGACTCATGTCAGCTGAACAGTCTGTGCTCCGTGGATTTATTGATGCCTTTCTTGTGCAGGTGTTGGTTGTAAGGCTTGGATGGTTCTTGGACAAAGGCTGTAATCCAGAATTAGGTCTTGTGAGTGCCCACCTTGGGTAGTCCCTGGTCCAACATGTAGGAGTCCTGTGCGTTGGCTGCCAGACCGTGCTGGCTCCTCATCATTTGAAAGCTGCTGGGACAGCTGTTCAGGAGCACACGCACATCTGCAGAAACGCCCGAAGTGGGGTCACCCCCCCGTATCAACCACACTGGCCCTCGAGGTCCACCTTCATGAGGACCTGGGCTCCTTCCCAGGGTGAGGAGCTGGCGAGCGCTGCCATGGAGCTGGCAGAGGCCCCGGCACTGAGCGAGCAGACTCCTGAGCTCCGAGCAGGCTCCAGAGCTTGGTGCTGCTGGCTGGGCTCAGAGGGAGCAGGCCCGTTTCTGGTCGGGTGGCTTTGGGCTGACCTCTGCTGACGGAGCAGGCAAACGGCTGCAGCAGAAGCCATGGAGGAAGAGCATGAGGTCTGGGGCTCTGCTTCGGGCACCCTGCTTGTGTTAAAAGCTCAGCAGATACCTGCCTGGCATATTCCTCGCCCGGTCCTGCAGAATACCTCGCCCATTCCTGGCCTTTCTCCACCCCTTCTGTAATGCTCCGTGCAAGGCTTTCATTTCTCCACCAAACTTTTTCTCAAAGGCAATAAATAACGTACGTAGGTGGAGTAATCTCAGTAGGGAACACTTCTCTGTGCAGCAGTTTAGCCAGGCCCTGGTCCCACCTCTGGCCTTTTCCACGCAGGTAGGAATGGAGGAGTGAACACGCAGCTTCTGCCTCCTTGAACTTTGTCCACATTTCCCTCCTCTCATTCCACCTTCATTAAGGAACTCTTTTTTTCCAGGCACAGCTTTATTGTAAGGATTCTTCTTTAGCCTTCTATCTGGTGTGCAGTCTCAGGTCTTTAACAGACTTTTCTTAAATACAAAAAATACTTTCCTACAAGCCATGCCTCCAGGGGCACTTTTTGTCTTTCACAAACAAAAAACTTCTCTCGCTGTAGTTTCAGAGGGGAACTGGGAAAAGGGATCTCTTGAAGCCTCAGCCCAGAGGCCTGTGGCCGGGGAGGCTGTGGAACTGGTTTCCCGAACCTTCTTGGCGCTGCTGGGAGATGCTTGGGGGACGTGGTGCTGCTGGTGTGCTGCGGCAAGGGGAGCGTGCCGGGCGTGCGAGAGGGTGCTCTGCAGTCCCATGCGAAGAAGGCTCCTGGAGAATACGATGGGATCTCGTGGTGCTCAGCACCTTGACTGGGGGCCACGGCGACTCCCCAGAGCATCCCCTGAAACAGAGCCCCAGTGTGCCATCTCCCAGCCCCCGCCACCCCAGAGGCACAGACAGAACAGTTTTCCCGATACTCCTGACTGCCCCTTTGCTAATTCTACAGGAAGGAGCCAGACAAACACAAATAAATTAATTAAAATTTATTTATAAAACCTTTCAGTAGCCTCAGAAAATCAGGAAAATATTTTTCTCCATTATTTAAAAAGAAGCACAAGGAAAACAGGCTCAGGAGGTTGCAACCTCTTTTGTCCAACAAAAGAGACGGTCATTTTCTCCTGTGCTCCAGGAAAGTGGCACTTTGTACCCGCAGTGAAATAAGAATAGTCCCAGTCCCAGCAGAATCACTGTAATTTTGAAACTAAATGTGAGTGTCTCCGGCCTCGGCTGACCCGCTGCGTCTCTGATCGAGTGTTCTACCTGGTTCCCTCCTCGCTGTCCTGCGGACCTGGTGCCATGGTTTCTACCTGCATCACGTTGTGGTTCCCGATCTGAACCATTCGAGCGTGCTGGATGATGAGAGGCGGGATGCCTCCGGGACCTGGCATCACGGCATAGTGGTTTGATGGGAGATGAAGTGGTTGGAAAGGAGGGGGACCCATCTGAGGAGGCATGGGGTGACTGGTGGGAGGAGGTGGGTGTGCGGCAGAAGGGACAGTCGAAGTGGGGGGCCACCACTGTTGGGGTGACTGGTCCAGCTGCTGCGGCCATGCTGCTGATGGAGGCACCTGGGGAGGGGAGCCAAGGTTCAGAACAGATAAGTTGTGGAGTGTTTGATACCGTTCCTGATGCAGCTGTAGTTTCTTTTTCTGCATCAGGTCCCACATGGCTTTCCTCTCGTTGATCCTGCTGGGTGTAAAGGTGTTCCGCACTGTCCGGGAGAACCCAGGAGAGTTCTCATCCAAGGGTGTCAGCCCACCGAGCGTGCTGGGAATCTGACTCCGCTCCAGGGGGTTCTCCTTGGGTACAAAAGGGATGACCGAGTCGCGCTTGGATGGTTTCAGGATGGACTCCATCAGAACAGTGTTTGTCTGAAACATACACAGGTTGCATGGGAAGTTCTTGGTCAGCAGAAGGATGATGAAAGCGGAGTTTTCCATAGCATCCTGGAAGCAAGTCATATGGCTGCGGCCGGCAATGGAGAAGTCCTCACAGAGTGTGGCACCATTGGGAACCCCCATGTTCTCCAGCAGGTCCCTGACCCGCTGGGCAACAATCTCATCTTCGCTAGCATGCAGGACAACAAAAGTGAAGAACTTGACACCATCTGGCGCTGATGTGGGCACCGGTTCTACAGCTTGGAGAGGAGGAGGCCAAGCTGGAGAGGGGGATGAGTGGAGGGGAGGGGGGTACGATGAGTTGGAAGGAGGCCCCTGAGGAGGAGAGGGAAAGGTTGAGGAGAAGGAATAGGCAGGAGGAGGAGCAGAACAGGCTGAAATGGAAGCAGATGCAGAGTTAGAAGGAATGCCTGCTGGAACGCAGGAGTCCTCCATGGACATGTGGGCAGGACCAGGACCCACGGTAACTCTCGACTCAGGAAGATCTGTAGATAATTGCTTTTCATCTTGCTTTTTGTCTGCGTTTTCTTTTGGTGCCGGAGGTTCTGCTGCCACTGTGCTGGACACATCACTGCTTTCCTCGGGCTGGTTCGCAGCACGCAGCGCGGGCAGCTGCGCGTCAGGAATGGGGGGAGTCGGATGACGTGAACTGAGCTGCAGAACCTCCTCCGGGCGGGGCACTTGGGCGCCTGTGTCCTGCCTGGGATGAGAGCTGGGTCTGCTGGCCCAGCTTGTTTCCTGCGGGCTGTGGCTCTGGCTGTCCCCGTTGGGCTGCCCAGCACCGCCGGTGCTCCCTTCGCACAGCCGGCTGGGCCGGGGGACGCGCTCGTGGGAAGAGGGCTGCGTGCAAAAACCAACCGTGGGCGACGCGCTGATCTCGAAGCGACTGGGGAAAGAGGGGCTCCCCAGGGAGCGCAGGGTCTGTGGGCCTGAAAGGTCCGAGTTGCCTCCAACCTGCACCGGGGAACTTCTCACCACGTAGTCTGGGCTGGCTGCCTGGTGAAATCCTGCGCCCTTATCAGATCGCAGCGTCTGAAATCTGTCACCCGGGCCCGTGCTGGTAGCAGAGCTGTGTTTTTCCTGGTCCTCAGCTGGGATGCTGTTGAGTGTGTCCTCCTCAGTTTCCTCACTGCTGTTGCAGGCTTTGGTGGCAGCCTGGAAGGCTTTGTCCATGGCTTCGTGACTGCACAGTTTTTCCTCCGCCAACACCGAGTAGATCTGTGCCAGAAGCGCCCTGGCACCTGCATCCAGCTGGGCAGGCTGCAGATCCTCCCCATCTCCCCGCACCCCTGCAGCGCCCAGTTTGGTCTGGTGGACGTACTGGGCTGCCCGGTTATCTCCCATGGCATCCAAACAAATTCTTGCATCTGCTTCTTGCCCCAGAGTAAGCAGGACCATGGCTTGCAGTAATTTGCTGCTGGGCCCAAATACCAAGTGCTTCAGTTTATATTTGAGTCTAAGGAGTTTATCTCGTGGGATCTGGGATAGGATATTAAAAACGTCCTCGAAGCTCGGCTGGAGCTTGGCGCTCTGTGCCATCTCATCAGCAGGTGGCCCTGGAGGTGGACTGAAGCAGCATGGATGGAAGAAGCATATTACAGCCCTCGGAGCGAAGGTTTGTTGCTCTGCGAGGCCGTGGTCGCACCTCCAGTAGCTCTTTGCTGCTCAGGGGCTCGTCTCCGAACCGGGATCTCTGTCCTGAGGAACCGGCCAGGTGAACCTGCGGGGAGAACACAAAGCCTTGCAGAGCTCCCACGCTCTCCCTCAGCGCTCTCAAGCATTTCTGCATCTGCGCAGCGCTCCCCACGTTGTTCCAACTCTGTTATTAAGCAGAGAGCAAGCTCTGTGCGTTCGTTTCACATCCGTTACAACTGTTTTAAAATAACTGCTGAACTAGTGATGTATTTAGGTAAATCCAAGTGGTTTCAGCGGCCTCGTGGGCTCCTTGTGATGGGCAGTCAAGGAATAAAGCGCGCTTCGAGGCAGCCCATTCAAACTGCTTGCGCCGGGAGGGCTGGTAACCCACACGCATCCCCTGCCAAGCTGCCGAGTGG